TGGAACACCTGCTTCCCCACTCCACTGCCCAAGCATTGAAGTCTCCTCCGATGACTACCGGTCGTCGTCCGACCAGCTCTTCGGTAAGTCCATCAAGCATCTCGTAGAACTTCTCAATCGTCCATCTGGGGGGTGCGTAACAACTACACATGAAGATTCCGTTGATTTTGGCGATGACGAAGCCTTCGTATGAGCTCGCAACCACTTCTTGAATGGGGTATCTGCCCATAACTTGTATAGCTGCCATCCCAGCTCTATCCGCAACCCAGTTACCGTTATCGGGAGGGACTCGATACGGTTCCGCAATGATTGCAACGTCGCACTTTGTTTCTGTTGTCGACTGCCACAACAGTTGCTGAGCAATGTCGCAATGATTGAGGTTTATTTGGGTTACCTCCATTACTGTTGGCCTGCCATCGCCTTTTTGTATGCTAGGCATTTGAAGCCTCCCGTCGTATGATCGTTACCGTCCTCTTTTTTGCAGAGCATACACCTCGGATGCTTCGTGCAGCCTCTTGCAATATGGCCTTTCTCTCCGCATTTCCTGCACAGATCAGATCTGTCAGGGCCATTGCAGTTCCTCGCCTGGTGACCGAATCCCATGCACTTGAAGCATCGCTCCAATTGCTTGGTAACCCGAGGAGTGGCTTTCAGCGAGCACAATGACCAGCCAACCTTGACCTTGCCCGTCTCCAACAGCTTATTCGCTGCAGCTGTCGAAAGCCGTATAACCGCCGTTTGCATGCCGCCGTACGCCTTCCTCATGCGGATTGACATCGGGACATCTCCCAGATCGCAGTGCACTCTCAACGCACTTCTTAGCTCCTCTTCTGTGGTGATCTCGTCCAGGTCTCTGCACTCGACCACTGTCTCCTGGGATAGAGCTCTTACGCTCGCCCCTTCGCCAAGAGACTTTTCGACGAGCTCCTTGAAGGCTGAGCTCTTGATAGCAGGATCCTTCTTCAGCTCAAAGAGGATCTCGCCTTTCTGGGTTCGCCTGGTTTTCACCACGTTCTCTCCTAGTTGCTTCAACTCCGGATCCTCTCGTACCTTCCGGAGGAGTGCTGCATACGACGTTTTGTCCTTAGCTTCGACGATCAGAGCATCGCCCTTACTTCGCTCCCGACGAGTCCTGGGTATCACCTTCTTCTGTTCAGCTTTCTTCTTCATGTCTTTTTCCTTCCGTTTTTTCCACTTCTCCTTTGGCTTCTCGACGGTACGCCAGCCTTCCTCCTTGTTGTCTTCTTTGTCGTTCTTGACTTTTTTCAACTCCTCTTCCTCTCCTGGAGTTTCCCTTTTCCTCTTCTCCGAGCGTGGATTTCGAGGTCCCTTTGGCGTCTCCTGTATTTCAGCTGCTGCTTTCTCCTTGGCCTCGATCAGTGCCCTTTCGGCAGTTACGGACCTCGTCCTCAGCGCATCCTGTTCACGTTCAGCAGCAATAATGGCGGATTTGATGCCCGTCACCATTTCCTTTATTGCCTTGTGGACGTTGCTCTTATCCTTGATGAAGTCATGGAGTTCATTGATCCTCCTCCTGACCTCCATCAATTTGGTCTTCCCAAGCTGCAATCCTTCTTGGGGTGTGCTACTGCTGGATTTCGGTGTGAACACCTGGCTTAGCATAAGACCTAGCTCTCCTTGGTGTCCTTGCTGCTCACCTTGGGGCTTACTGCTGCTGTTGGAACTCGCTGTTGCCTCCAGGTTCAACACTGGTGATCTCTGCAATATCCCGCTCCTTGCGAACACGTTCGCTCATCCGTTTTCAATTTCTGGCGTCTTGCCGTCGTCCTTCATATTTTTTTGGGTTTTCTCATTTTCTTCTTTTTTGTTTTTTTCTCCGTTTTTCTCCATTCTGTTGGGTCCCCCCTCCGGGCCGCTATCTCCACTCGTTGTATGTAGTCGCCTATCGTGATCCCATGGTTATCTATGCAAGCAGGGAGGCCATGCTAGGGTTGACACGGTCCTTCATGGGGGCCGTGTTCAGAGCCAGATCGGCGTAAGTCAGGAATGTTACATCTGAGTCTACTACTCACCAATCACCAATTGGTGACGAGTTTTGAACGTATCCGGAGGCCTGCCAAGGTTTTACCGGGACGGGGGCAGCCGCACTATTAGCCCACTCGCCATTTCAAGAAGGTGTCACCCTTCTTTACTTAGGGAGCAGAATAGCACGACTGTCAGCCCTGTAGCGTGGTATCCAATCCATTGTACCGTGTCGTGTCCATAGTTCCATGCCGTATCCAGTATGCCATAATAAGGATCTTACTGGCGTCGATCCTAATGTGCCGGTTGGCACTCCTGCGGGTTGACGAAGCATTTCCTCGATCGCCGTGTTATGGTTACCGCGCCAGTGTTCGCGTCGCACCCCCTCACTTTGCTATTGTCAGAAGGACAACATTGCCCAGGCTACACCACGGGGAGGTGTGAGGTAGGAACTTGTGAGGACCAGAGATAGGAAAAACGCTCTTCCCAGGTTGTCAATTCACCATTTGTAGCCCGTGTGTGTGTGTGTGTGTGTGTGTGTGTGTGTGTGTGTGTGTGTGTGTGTGTGTGTGTGTGTGTGTGTGTGTTCCCTCTAACCCCCACTGGCCGGCAGTGTTATTATGGAAGAACTCTCTCTACAATGTCGCATTTATGGTCATTGTAGACAGCTTTAGTCCGGGAGTTAGAAGGTGATAGCTCTATTGCGGATCCAGCAACCCATTTCAGAATGTCTGGAGAGTCACGCCCATTCCAAGGTTACTTTCACTCACAATAAGCCCCGCATGTTTGCATCACCGTTATCAAATGGATATTGGTGATACATACACACTTCCAGGTTCGAAAATATTCTTTTCAACCCTGGCATGTATTTAGTGTAATTTTGATTGTTTTTTCTTTTTTTAATAAATGGAAAGCTCTCACCATATTCTGTTCTTCCGCCGTCGTTATTTGCTTCTTTTGGAATCCCTTGGACTTTTTCTCTAACGCTTCGTATTTCATTCCGTGCTTCACCGGCAATTTCCTTCCATAGACCGTCCTTGGTTGGTTGGTTCTAATATGATTCCGCCTTTTTTGGTCGGTTTGATGTCCATCGTTATTGAATTGCCATGGTGATCTGGGACGAGGCTCACGTCCAAAGTCACTGGTCCATCGAGCGCTCCGTTTGCGAAAGGAGAATGAAAGAAATACGAAAGGGATCAGTTTCAAGAAGTGACAGTTTCATCAGATTCCCCAACTAACCATACTCAAGCAAAGTAAGAATATACAAGCTATATTGCGACTATATGGTTACTTGGGTACTCATATGGCCGTCAGAATGGTTCATCGGTTGCGAAGTGAAGTATTTCTGAAAGTGATGCGTAATATTTCTCAATGTTTTGAATTTATCCTAACGTTACCTCATTGTTATATCACAGACAAGCAGACACAACACATTGAACGTTTATAATTGTAAACCCTACCGCCATCTGTCGTATATACTTTGATGGGCAATACACTCAACAGATGGTTGTAGTGTGTAAACGTCAAACGCTAGGGAATTTATTATGTGCACCACAAATGGCAGTACTACCAACTAAGAAACATTTAAATTGACCGTTAAAAACTATTTTGATGAACGTTTTAAGAGTGTTATGTCTGCTTTTCTGTGATCATACCTTCACTATCGCAACTTCGGGTAATCTGTGAAAGTACATGCATTTTTCTCAGGCACTTTTGATCTAACTGCAATTACTCTCTCATACTCGAAATGTGGCACGACCAAATTGGCACAACGACGCCCTATACGCTCTCTGACCGAAGCGCAGGGCAATACCAAATTATGATATGTGTCACGAAAATGTACAAATAGGACACGGCGTTGCAAATTGATTAGTACATTATATAATTTATTTGTTTGTAAATAGCAACAGAACTGAGAATGATAGCTTACATTTTCCAAAAAAAAAAAAGTGTTAATGTGCTTACGACGTTTTCGAGGTATCATCCAAATAATTCAAAGATTAATTTTACTATTTGGGTAATCGTTTGGATCTTGTAATATGTTTACGATTTATTATTTGGATAACAGACTATAACTTTTGAAGAATTTCTTATACACAATAAAAATTGGAGCAGTGGGACAGATATGCGTCCATTTTTGCAATGGGACAAAACTGCCCACGGTGCATAAGGATTGCATAGAACATGGGACAGTTATGCGTAGAACGGCAGAAAAGACTTCACATTTTTTTATTTTTCTAGAATAAACAGCATGTTTTAATATAATGTTTTAAAAATATGCATTTATTTATAACGTTAAGCATCATAACCTCAAAAAAGTCAAAATGTCACATGGGACAGTTATGCTTCCACCGGCAGTAAACTAGTGTTACACATTTTTACTCGTGGGACTGATGGGTGTTCTTTCATGTTGTACCTAAATGCAGTATTGCCAATTCAGAGTGAAAAGTATTGGTGGAACAGTTAACAGTAGTATACTTTTTAAAAAAGGCGATTGTCATCTGAAGGAGTGTGCTCCATTACCCCGAGTGTCAATTCTCCGAAAGCCATATCAAACCGAATATGAAAAGAACGAGTAGCAATCAAAAGAATCTCAATCGGAGAAGTGACCTTAAGGTAACGGCATTCGTTGTATTGTAGCACAATCTATCTGACGGAGGGTGTTACATTCTAAATCTTCAGGATGAATCTTGTTGTACGATTCCTGCTCTAGATTTTTTTGTGAAGAGATTGTTATCAAATGTTAAACATTAAGATCGTTATGTTACTGCTTGTAATTACGATACATTTGGGGAACCATTTTCGGGGAAATGGTATATTGGATCAATAGTTTTTTTAGGTTGTCATCTTCATTTTATCAGCTACAGTTTTTACCTTGGAGCGTTCGATGACGATGTGTCCCAGAGCGATTGTAGTTATTAGAAAGCGTGAGATATGTTGTCTTCGTTTTTATCGAGGCTTCTATAGCAACCACTTACTTGCAACTATGGATTGTGATATAAACGAACTTACAAGGGTTTTTCATTAAGTAACATGAATTTATTTCGTACTATCACTAATATAGTTGTGTTTGTTTTCCTACACAGAAAATAGCTGTAATTTGCTTTTTTTTTCTGTGCCATCGCCTTAGATAGCGGAGAGGGGGAAACGAATCTATTTACAAAATGTTGCCGTCGGTCTCATATCACACTACACCTACTACTGTATTGACCAATAAATGTGGCGGCGCTTAGCAAAAACAGTCACTTTCATATTACCGCACCAGGTATCGTCAGCCGTCAATTTATTCGGACTGCGGACCGTCGTGTGCTTCGTAGGTGACTGCTTATGAATCGTTCGTTCATCATTCACTCATCATCACTTGTTGGTTTATTTCACATTTGTTTTTATCGGATTATTAAAATCCGGCTTTCAGCATTTGGCTTGTTGTGTTATGTTTCAATCTCTGTGTACACATTCACTCATGAGTTCAAATTTGAAGATATGCAAAACGCGCTCTGTTATATTATGTTGTAGCTTTTGCTGTTAAACAAATCTAATTCTAAGGTTTTCTTCCATCCTGCTGCTGTTGTTTTTGATGCCAGTATTTGTTGTTCATATTTTGCTTGTTTTAACTGAAGCGCACTCAGAAATGCAAAATTGCTGGCAATGGCTGGAACTGTAAGAGTGAGTGTGTCTGTGTGTGTTGAGTTTGGCGCTATCTACATCAGGGAATTAAAGCATTGCTTGTTTTGCGACGATTTAAATATCTGCTAAGAGCAGTGCAGTTTATTTTTTTTGTTATATATTTGTTTATATCAACAATATCTCACTTCCTAGTGCAGCTAGAAAAAAGATATATTTTTCTAACGTCCATTACACAGGCTTTCTACAGAACTATATTTGTAAATCCATATACTCTGACGAAAGCATAGTAAATTCGAATCCAACGCAGGAAAAAATGTGTGCAATAAACGATCGAAGGTATGAAATATTATATATATTTTTTTTCAAATGGGCGCATCCCTAATTATATCTTTTCTGTCTTAATCATCATTGAAATTAATCAAATGCTACCTTCATCGATCGAACAAATACTAAACTCTATACATTTCCTTAAAGTTATTTAACTAAAATTTAAATAGGATACAAGCCTTCTCTAGGTACAAGTGTCAAGTTTCCAAATTAGAGCCCTGCTTCTTGTGATTCGATGGAAAGAAAACGTTCCAGTTGTGTCTAGCAGTTATACACCTGCCTAAATGAAAACTTCATTTAACTGCCAACACGTTAACATCTAAAAGGTGACCCACAACGCAGGTAAATGTTCCCATTTCCGCTCTATCAAACTGTATTCTGGTATGCTTACTTGGAGCCCTCCTTGGCCGATATATGGTCGGCTTTTTCGCCGCGGGCGCACCGTTCCCACATCTTGTAGAACAACGCCTCCATACCTTGGGCGTACTGTTTGCAATCAAACAGTGCACTTTCGCAACGTGCCACCCAAACTTTGGCTCGGATCGCCTTTAGGTACTCCTTGTCGGTGCCGAGTTTGATGGCAATGTCCTGGTACTCCTGTCGGCTTCGGGCGATCAACTCCGGACATCCGAGCGTAGCCAACTGCGATGCTGCCACCCTGTGTGAAGGAGAGATGAGGATGGGGTTTTAGAAATCAATGCAATTTTTGGAACTGTCGTTGTTGGAAAATTATGATTCGAAAATTCCGTGATGTTAGCAAGTAGTTTTTGAATTTTTTTTAAGCGAAATGATTGACGCTAGTGTTTCTTCAAAGGTTTTTTTTTTTTTATTTAGGATTAACAAGACTGAACTGCCCATCTTACCTGGAGGCCAACGTTTCCGCTGGGAGTGTGACGACGGGCGTTCCCGTCCACAGTACGTCCATAGAGGTGGTGTGACCGTTGCACAAAGGCGTATCCAGGCACACATCGGCCAGCTGACCACGGCGTACGTGTTCCTCTTTGGCAGCAACATTCGAGAAAATGATCTTTCCCGGAGCAACACCGAGCTGCTGGGCCGCTGCCTGGATGTTTGTCTCGCCGACGGCCGGGAAGCGGAGCAACCACAGCACCGAGTTGGGGACATGCTTCAAGATATTAACCCACGAAGCGAGCGTGTGTGGATCGATCTTGTACAGTTGGTTGAAGTTGCAGTACACGATGGCATCGTCCGGAAGGCCGTACTGCTGTCGTGTCGTCACGACGATATTCTGTGGAACTTCCTCTCCCGTGGCTGCCTTGTTGTTGGTCTGAGTAGTGGCCAATCCGTTCTGTACAACGACACCGTTTAGCGAGGTCTGGATCTGTCCGGAAGCGATCATCGTTTCCACCGGAGTTGTGGTGGGGAGTTCTACAACTTTGTGCGAAATTTCAACCGGCTTGTGTGCGAGCACCACTTCGCGTATCGTTTTTACATCGTTGTTTTCTACCAGCGGCGACAAATCGGTCGCGTTAATGACTGCGACGTTGTCCACTAGTTGACTATTCTGCTGCTTACCGCTCACGATGAGTCGTTCCTTCAAATGAGGGAACATTTGCCGGTGGTCACCAATGAAGTACGTGTGAGGCATGTAGGCCAGTTTTTCACTATATTGATCGGCTAGTTCCATCGGAGATGTGACAGTGTCGGTTATGATGTAATCCATGAAACTAGCACCACTAGTTCCTGGGTAGCCCAACCACATGACCTGAATCGGTGCAGGCCTCAGGGCGAATATTTCATTGCGGGCTCCTTTGGTGTACCCATTCATATTGACCAAAATGTGAATGCCATCGGCGTGGATTCGATCGGCGGCTTTTCCGTTGCAAGCAATCTGCGACAATTCGACAAAGTGTTCCGTTTCACGAGAAATCTTACTTCGGAACATGGTTCCATCGTCGGGACTGAGAGCATAGCAAAAAACTTCAACTCTGGATCGATCATGCATTCCCGGAATCGACTGCATGAGATGGGAAGTCGGATGGTTTCCAAAGTCGCTGCTCACGTAACCGATTCTCAGCCGTCCGCCCAGTTCCCGCGAGAACTTATACGGTGGCTTGTGAAGAATGTGAATTTTCTCCAGACAAAGATTTGCATGCCGAGCTGCAATCGCCTTGCGGAAATCATGCGACAACGGATACAACATCGAGTGGTGCGGATGAACCGATGGCAATCGGTTCTTGTCCAACTGATCCGCCACAATTGCCACCAACTTCTTCATGCGAGTTTCGTAATCGGTCCAATCGCACACAATCTGCAAACAGTGGGCCAAATTGCAGTACGCATCTGGGAAGTCCGGTTTCAGTTTCAACGCCGTTCGGTACGACTGGATGGCATCCGGAATGTTTCCGGAGTCTTTGTGAATGCTAGCCAGATTACTGTGTGCATCAGCGAAAGCCGGGTTGATTTGGATCGCCCGGGTATAGCATTGCAGTGCTCCAGCAACATCCTGCATTTCCTTCAGGGTGTTTCCCATGTTGGAATAAGCATCGGCAAACGTTGGCTGAATGCGGATGGCTTCCTTGTAGTGCAAAAGGGCTTCATTTAATTTGCCCTGCTGCTGCAGTACGGATGCAAGATTGGAATGAGCTGCAGCAAACTCGGGGAAAACCTCCAAAGCTTTCAGATATAGCCGTGTCGCTTCTTCGATGTAGCCCTGTTCTCGCTTGATGTTGGCGAGATTGTTGAGCGAATCGGCATGGTTCGGGCAGAGACGTAAGGCGGTATTGTAGCAATCTTCCGCCTCCTGGACTTGACCTTTCTCTTTGAGGGCATTCGCCAGATTACAGTATGCATCCGGGAAATTTGGCTGCAGTTCAATCGCTCGACGATAGGTATCGATGGCCAGATCGATGAGGCCCTGCTCGTAGTATACGCAAGCCAAATTTCCATGCACGACCGCATTGTATGGGGACAGGTTCAGTGCCCGAAGGTATGCCGCAACGGCTCTGTAAAGGAAGAAACAGGAAGATAGGGGATTAGATACATAGAGATTTATTTGCATTGCGGTAGATACTGCCAAAATGTCGTCCAATTAACGAAATTGTTAGCGCAATCAGCGGAACATTTTCTTTCAAGATATGATCCTGAAAAACATCCACTGAACTGGAAAGCAGAGTAAGAGGAGCAAGATGAAGAGATGAAGTGGGGTCAAAATTGAATCAAATTCTGAGTGCGCTCTATTCATGTCACCTTCACACCCACGACGCTTGATTTCGGAGTTGTATGGAATTAGTGTGCCGGAAAGTAATTTTTTTTAACGCAGAATAAAAAGAAGACATTCACCAGCGCAAGTGGGTGTACAGCAACCAATCTGTCGCGATTATCATACTGCTGGGTAGTACCTATATCTCCTTCCTAGAGAGCAGTATTGAGAGGTGTGCGAGTGGTGGGGGTGGGACAGTAAGAGGGTTACGAACAATTTTCCTAACGAAATTGCTGAAACAAATTTAATGAATCGCACAATAGATACCTATACCTCGTGCTCTCTAGATGAAAAAGGTTACCTGCAAATGGCACTTGGCAAAAGGCGGAATTTGCTGGTAATTAAGAAAGCATTAAAGCTGTCGGAACAATTAAGAGCTTAAACGGGTTTTGAGTTTATGGTATATTCAAAAATTTACGTTGAGAATGGAGTCGGCAGTTTTACGATTTAAGTCGGCGTCTAATCAAACCACTAGAACTGCGAATTGAACGACCGCCTTCATACAGTGTGGCCAGTGAATTTTCATTTTGAAAATCGGATAAAGAAGATGCCACACGGGAAGGATAGTTGTGTTAGTGGGTAAGGTTATTTTTAGATTATGATTCACTGTTGTAGTAAGTGATGCGATCAGTAACTAAAGCAGCTGACTCTGTTTGTAATTTAAATCTAGTGGGGATATAATAAGACATAGTGAACAATTGCAAGCAAGGGGGCCGGGCCTGGGATTGAACTTCTGACTTTCTGTTCAGCATGCAGAAACTGTAATCACTGAGCTACCGAGCCTCGTTAGTTCAAGGTTTCAAATGTTTGAGCGATTTACCGATTTTTAAGAGGTTAAGATTCCAGATATTCGAGAATCCAGATTTTAAAATAAAGATTAATGTTACCTGGAAGGAATTTTCAGGATTCAGCATCTAAATTAATAAGTTTTTCAGAGAATTTTGCAATTCTGAGGATTATTCGTTTGAATTCTAGTGATAATTTCAAAATTATTCTGTCGAGAATTCTAAAGAATATCGGGGATATTCTGAGATGAATTCCTAGGAAGTTCTAGGCAACATTCCAAAGAAGATTTGAAAGCCTGAATATTTTGGGAAATTGGAGGTTGTAATTTTCAAAAGATTTTCAAGGGAATGCTGAGAAGAATTCCATGGGAATCAAATTCTATCTGGAATACTGAGTGTGTTTTGATGGCAATTTTCTGAATATTTTCAATACCGGTGTGAGAAGTCTAACATTCTGAAAAGTCTTATACCAAGAGACTTCTATCAAATTTTCATAGAGAATTTTAAGGAATATAGGACTTGTGAGAACGTCAAATATCAGACTTAAAGTGTTCATTTTATACGATAGATGAGGAGATGAAAGTATAGAGTTGATGGTTCCGTTAGAGTACGGCAGTGTGAAAATTGCATATAGATAGTAAAAAGTGAACAAAGGTCAATTTTGAGGAAGGCACGAATCGGGTTGATCGTCTCCTTTGCCAACATCCCCTGCTGTGGAGGGATGGTGACGGTTAACTCCCTCCGCCACCTGTGAGAATTATTGAGGGCATATTTTATTTATTGAACTTTCACTTATGTGCACCAAAATTCTATAAAAATTGAGGAGGTTAGAAGGAAAGGGGTGTAAGTGATTTTGATCGATTCTCTTCACCGACTTTCTCTTTTGATAGCCACAGCTTTATTAACAGATTTTGCGCTATTTCTGCCTCATAGTTTGATAAAGGAGGTTCTCATCTAGTATCCAGAATGGCACACGAATCAAGGAATGTGTTTGCAGCTGAATTATTAACGAAAAAGAAAGTCGATGAAGAGAATCGATCAAAGTCACTTACACTCCTTTCCTTCTAACCCCCTCAATTCAAGAAATTGCTTTATCTTTCTAAACAGCAGCAATTTTTCCATGAACATTTTAAACTTTCTAGAAACACATGTAAAATCAATATTTTGTGGTGTTCTTAGACATTCGAATAAAAGTTGTTGAATATTAATAACCAGCTGTTGAAGCGGACAGATTGTGAATTGAACTAAACCCATCATGTCACACCTCAAATCGCATGAGCATTCAAAAATAAGATCATTGGTAGTCATACTGAGAGTCCAAGACTCTGAGATAAACTAGTCTAATGGCTGAAAATCTCACTAATAAAGAAAATTGTGTCCAAGACCACATTGGCCACATACGAACAGATTCCGAGCTCCCGAGGGGAAGTGTTCAGAATCTATATTGAACTAAAACCCATCATGCGACATCTCAAATCCCATGGGAATTCAAATAAAAGATAATTGGTAGCCATATTGCGTGTCCTGGACCACATTGGTCGCACTCGGACATGTTCCAGGTTCCCTCGGGGAAGTGTTCTGAATCTAACTTGAACTGAAACCTATTATGCGACACTTAAAATCACATGAGAATTAAAAAATGAGATCATTGGCCATCATATTGAGTGTTCTGGATCACTTTGGCTACATTCGAACATGTTCCGGGATCCCCCGGGGAAGTTGACACAATCTGATTTGAACTAAAACCTATCATGCGACTCATCAAATCACATGAGAATTCAAAAATAAGATTATTTGTAGTCATAATAAGTAGCCTGGACCACTTTGACCATACTCGGACATCTTCCGCTCCCCCGGGGAAGTGTACATAATCTTACTTGAACTAAAACCCACTATGCGACACCGCAAATCACATGAGAATTCGAAAATAACATCATTGCTGGTCATATTGAGTGTAAAAAGGGTTCCATCTCACCATAAGAGAATGATTTCAGCATTTTGATTCGCGAGGATTTGCTTCGTTTTTAATACACGGACGGCGCAAATTCCTAGTCAGTCATTCCATATTCACTGTTCCACCAGTGAAAACACAATTGACTCTTACCCGTACATCTATTTATCTTGAAGTAGAGCAGGAATTCAATCAAATGACTTGACATACCGAAGTATATGCACTGAACCATCTAAAGCGAATTAGCAAAATCTAAACAGACACGTTGTACATAGATTTACCATTCCGCAACCTCCCACCCCATCATCATCGTCATACAATTTGGTCGTATTTACATACCGATGTAGTTACCTACAGTTTCGGTCATTGAATAATCAACTTTCTTTGAGCTTTTCAAACTCACATCACAGTTGTTTTTAATTGAGAATTTAGTTAAAATTAAGGTCAAATATGTTTGGTATGACCATCGCTGAAGTGACTTATGTTACGGCCAACACTGTATGTCTCTGTCTGTACATAAAAGAAGAAGGACATTCTCTGAGCCAAACAATTTTTCAAACATAGCAAGGAGGAAGTTTGTAGGCAGTGGGCGACCCTGCGGGAAATTGTTTCCGGAAATGAAAAGAGGACACTTTGCAACATCGAGCATGCAGGTAACTAGGTGTGTGTAGAACTCAGAGGAAGAACATAGGACTCGACGAAGCTCTATACAGGAAAGAGTTCATACTTTGCTCCGTGTCCGTGCTCCGGGGAGACAGACCGAAAGGTAGTAATTCAAATTCAATTTTTGGCTAGCAATCAAAGATGGTTAGGTATGACAAACAAGAAGGATGCTGTGTGATGGGGCGAGGGGGAAATTGTGCGGTTGGAGCGAACACGGGGAGAGCAATAAAAAGTTCGTCAAATGGTGTGCTGGGGATGTTATCATCGTCGTCGTTGTAGTCGCCGTGGAGTGAGTGCTGCTTCATCCAATGGTATGACACACAGGCGACCGGTGTGCGACAGGCAAATATTATTGAATATCGAGAGGATGATGCTAAAAATAGATTTTATTGACAGGGCTTGAATTATTCAAAACGCTTTGCCACATGACGACAGGTCGATCGAAGGGTCTCGGTTGGGAGATCTTTCGGAAAAGAAGATGCTGTGTCGCATAACACATAGCATATAACAAGAGGGAGTAAGTTTGAGAAACTTATCTCTTCCCATTATTCCATAGCAGTGCTTCCCAAACTTTCCCGAGCTTCGTGTATCCCTTAACAAAAATTGATTAAAAATTGTACACCTCATTCGAAAATAGTCGCAATTAAGATTTTTTTTAGAACAGGGGCCTCATTGCCCAAACCGAAACGCTTGTATGAAAAAGTGAGTCGTTTGTAAATCCTCAATTCAATAAAATTCATATTTTGTCGCATAATCTTGTGCGACCCAGGGGTACGTGTACACCAGGTTGTAAATCACTATGGTACGTGGTACCGTCTAGCGTTTCTTAACTAAACTGTAGAGAGAGAAAGAGGTATCGAATCTTCCATATGGAAGCGTGTTTGTAAAGATTTTTAATAACGGAAATGATTATACTAGAATTGTTTACAGGGAGTTACAATAATGGAAAGCTTCACGTAGATTTAGATGACGTAAAAAAAATTCTAAAATAAAATCAACAACACCGCCGCCAACTCGTACAAACCTTTTAATGTAGAACTTAATCCAATCAACACATCCATGCTGGTCGGCTTCGAGCTCCGAGAGCGAGTTGTATGGATGGTACGGCGTTATCCTGACGATAGTGTAGATCACGATACACTGGTAATCCATGCCTGCAACAAGTGGTCTGTTGCCAGCCTGAGCATGAACGGTAAACTGTGGTGCGGTTTTGTGGCGTTAACTCCCTCCAAACCCCTTGCCTATAGCGGTATCTCGACCGGATGTTGGTCTACGTTAGCTTCACACTCCTCTATAACACTTTCTAATGGAGAAGGAGCAATCGAACTCGGTGTACCCTCTACT